ACTCTTGTTACCCAGGCTGGAGTGCAATGGCACAATCTCGGCTCACCGCAACCTCCGCCTCCTGGGTTCAGGCAATTCTCCTGCCTCAGCCTCCTGAGTAGCTGGGATTACAGGCATGTGCCACCATGCCCAGCTGATTTATCTAAAGACCTTACAACACTAGGACCACATTCCCACAGGGCAATAACCAGCTAATGGGGGCAGTGGCTACTACCCTGACCTCAGCCATAGCATGTATTTCCCAATGTGTCTTTATCATCTCGCTCATGCTGTGGTCAAGTTCTGCCGTCATGTCATCTCATCATGGCAAAGAAGAAGGTGAAATACTACATTCCACATAAACGAGTCACTATCAAGAGTGAGAAAACCAGTACAACCACTTTGGAAAACTGTATCTACCAAGGCTAATCTATGCATGCCTTATAACCCACCAATTCCACTCCCAAGTGAATACTCAGAAAAAATGTGGACACGTTTTCCAAAAGATGCTCAAAACAGTTATGGTGTCATCATTTCTGAGAGTCCCAAGCTGGCTATCAACAAACTAGCAGCAATTCCCATCAACAGTAGATAAAATGTAGCATATTCATAGAGATCAATCTCACAGATAAATGCCATTCACAAGAACTCAGACACATGAGTATATGCTGTATGACTCCACTTAATATACAGTTCAAAAATAAACTAAAGGTGGTGTTAGAAGTCAGGTGAGGCCAGGCACGGAGGCTCACCTTTAGTCCCAGTATTTTGGGAGGCCAAGGCAGGCAGATTACATGAAGCCAGGAGTTCAAGACCAGCCTGGCCAACACAGTGAAACCCTGTCTCTACTAAAAATACAAAAATTAGCCGGCCAAGGCAATGCATGCCTGTAGTCACAGCTACTTGGGAGGCTGAGGCACAAGAATTGCTTGAACGCAGGAGGTGGAGGTTGCAGTGAGCCAAGATTGCACCAGAGCACTCCAGCCTAGGTGACAGAACAACCCAAAAAAAAAAAAAAAAAAAAAAAAGTCAGGTGAGTGGTTACCTTTGGGGGGAAGGGAACTCAGGGTGGGGGATGCGGTTCTGACATGCTGATAATACTGCCCTGCGACCTGGCTGCTGCTTACATGGATGTGTACACTTGAAAATTCATCAAGCAATCAGGCACAGTGGCTCACGTCTGTAATCCCAGCACTTTGGGAGGCAGAGGCAGGCAGATCACAAGGTCAGGAGTTCGAGACCAGCCTGACCAACATGGTGAAACCCTGTCTCTACTAAAAATACAAAAATTAGCTGGGCATAGTGGTGTGCACCTGTAATCCCGGCTACTCAGGAGGCTGAGGCAGAAGAATTGCTTGAACCCGGGAGGCGGAAGTTGCAGTGAGCCAAGATTGCACCACTGCACTCCAGACTGGGCAACAGAGCAAGACTCAAAAAAATAAATAAATAAAAATAAAGCTGTGCATTTAGGACTTACATATGTCAATACACAGTTTGAGCTTAAAAACTTTGAAAAGTGGGAAAACAATACCAAGACGGCCACGTTTCAAGACAATTCCTACAATATCAGACATGTTTAATATGACAAAAAGAACAGTTGCCACTATGAAACAGATTATTATAAAACTATGACCAGAACACATAAAAACACCTCATGAGCTGGGAGAAAGGACCTACTGTGCAACTCCCAGCCTGCCTCACTCACGTGCATCACCTGCCTTAGCTCTATGTGCTCTGGGCTTGCAACCACTGACACAGGGATCCAAGCCTTTTCCATAAACCCTGTCATCATTTATCAGACTGGAGATAAGGGGCAGGTTTATTATCCAAAAATCAGTTACTTTCCTAATGCTTATCTACAAATCTGTTGAAAATAATCACTTGAAAGAGTTGTTGGGAGAAATGAAAACTATCATGTCTCTAAACCCTTAAGACAGTACCAAGGAGACAGTAAGTACGCAAACAATGAATTATCACTTTATTTATAGCAGCGTTACTGATGACTGCAAAGTCTTGTTTGTTTTTGAGACAGGGTTTCCCTCGGCTGGAGTGCAGTAGTTCGATTCTGGCTCACTGCAGTCTTGACCTCCCATGCTCAATCAGTCCTCCCATGTCAGCCTCCCAAGTGGCTAGGACTACAGGAGCCTGCGACTATGCCTGGCCAATTTCTGTACAGATGGGGTTTCTCCATGTTGCCCAGGTTGGTCTGGAGCTCCTGAGCTCAAGAGATCCACCCACCTCGGCCTCCCAAAGTGCTAGGATTATAGGCATGAGCCACCTTGCCCAGCCACACAGTCTGTTTTTTGCCTCTTTTTGACAGGGTCCTACTCTGTCGCTCAGGCTGAAGTACAGTGGTACAATCATGGCTCACTGCAGCCTCAACCTCCTGGGCTCAAGCGATCCTCCCACCTCAGCCTCCCAAGTAGCTAGAACTAAAGGGGTGCACCACCACATCTAGCTAATTTTTAAAAATTTTTTGCAGAGACGGGGTTTCACTATGTTGCCCAGGCTGGTCTTGAATTACTGGGCTCAAGCGATCCTCCTGTCTCAGCCTCTAAAGTGCTGGAATTACAGGTGTGTACCACCACACCCGGCCTACAAAGTCCTCTTTAAAATTAGAGGTGCCCCAAAGGTTGTATGCTACTCATAGTAAAGCCTAGTAGTACCTAACGTGGTGATTCTGAAGGGGACAGAGGAGACCAGGGACATGAATTCCAGGAACACAGGGCAGGCCTTTTCCAGCAACATGAAATAGATTCGGATGTGCCCTCTAGATCCTCCAGTACACAAGCTCCTTCTGTTTTTAGAATACGGCAGACCCTTGAACACCACGGGTTTGAACCACGTAGGTCCGTCCACTTACATGCACGTTTTTTCCATAAACATTACATCAGATGTGCCTCTGCCACCACTAAAACAGCAAGACAATCCCTCCTTCGCAGCAGCAGCCACCGCCACCGCCTACCCAGTGTGAAGGCAATGAGAATGAAGGCCTTTGTGATCAGCCATTTCCACTTAATAAATAGTAAATACATTTTCTCTTACAATTTTCTTAAGGACGCTTTCTCCTCTAGCTTACTTTACTGTAAGGCTACGGTATATAACACACATAAGGTACACAATACGAGTTAATGGACTGTTATCAGTAAGGCTTCTGGTCAACAGTAGGTTATTCATGGTTAAGTTTTGGGAGAGTCAAATAATATATGCAGATTTTTGACTGCAAGGAGGTCAGTGCCCCTAATCCCCATGCTGTTCAAGGGTCAACTGTACTTGATTTACTTCTTTACTATTTTTGGTATCAATGCCTATACCTCTGAGGGTTACAACGGGAAAGCCTTGAGAATCAGGACCTGGAAGCTATAGAGTATAACGTCTTACACTTGCCTGATGAAGCCAGTCATCAGATTTCAGGGCCCCTTCCTTGGTGATGGAGTTAGCAGGTCTGGGGAAGGCCCAGACCCTATATTTTAACAAAGCCTCCCGTGATTCTTATGCCAACTCAAGTTTAACTTGGTGAAACCTGGAGCTGAAAAGACCTGAATCCCCAGAATCTATCAGTGAGATAACTCTGGGCAAGTTACAAAGAATCTATGAGTTTCTTCATCTGTAAAAGGAGAGTTAAAACCTACCTCACAGGATTGTTGTGTTCGAATTAGGGCAGAGCGTAGGACCAAACACTTGGTAAAAAACAGTAGCGATTAATGTCATTTGAGTAAACTACATATTACATAAAATAATAGGCCATTATTGAAACAGCTTGCCACTTAAAGAACTATTCCCAACTAAGAGGATCACTTGAGCCCAGGAGTTTGAAACCAGACTGGGCAACACAGGGAGACCTTGTCGCTACCAAAAAATTTAAAAAATTATCTGTGTGGTGGCACCTGCGTGTAGTCCCAGCTACTCAGGATACTGAGGCAGGAGGATGGCTTGAGCCAGACAGTTTGAAGCTGCAGTGAGCTGAGAGGGCAACACTGCACTCTAGCCTGAGCAACAGAGCAAGACCCTGTCTCAAAAAAAAAAAAAAAAAAAGAGAAAGAAAAGAA